GAAGGAAGGAAGGAAGGAAGGAAGGAAGGAAGGAAGGAAGGAAGGAAGGAAGGAAGGGAAAGAAAACTACATCATTTCACAGATTTCTCTGAACTTCCAAGGAGTTCGTGAACACAAAGCCAGCTGCCAGAGGCTCACTGAGCACTGGCGCTGCCTTCGATGGGCAAATGTTGAAAAGCCACTTTTGCTGGCTCCAATGCCAAGTGATGACCTCATGGGAAAGGCAGAACTGCTAGCAAGCTTCACAATGCAGAAGGACGTCATCGCTGAGGAACCCCAGTAAAGGGCCAAGAATTCCTCTGGAGAGGCAAGTTCCTTGAAGTAACATCAAGGAGCCCACAAACAAAGCCTCTTGGACAATGGACAGAATAGCATTTCCATCTCCATCACCATGCTGCACAGTAGCAAATTCAGTTTTAGAAGCATATTTTTTGCTATGAAAATGCACCCCACAAGAGGCTTTAGTTATTTGTTTTTATAATATAATAGTTTATTTTTACATCACGTTGTGCCTTTTTTCAATCTCAGTTGTAATCTCCATGGGCTTCCCATCACCAAATCACCCATGAACCATCACCCTAGTCATTTTTTAAATTTTTTAAAAAGATATATTTATTCCTGCAGAACTGGGGTACAAGCCAGAGGTGCAGGAGTGGTGAGAAGTTTCACCAGAGACAGAGTGGGGAGCGAAACAGATCGACAAAGTACACTGAAGAGGAAAGCAGCGGGCAGGTCAGGAGAGGTCTGCCACGCCATGTGGGTCACCTCCGGGGCTGGGATTGAACTCGCACTGAAGCAGTGCAGCATCCTAACCTGTTGCACCACCAGGGAGGGCCTTTATAAACATTTTAAAGCCTCTTTCTAAAACATACTTTAATTTTTACAGCATATGTTTGTGAACATATTTTTGTAATTTAAAATTTTTTTTCCTACATTTTTTTTTCATTTCTGTGCAACGAACGAGTAGATCCCAATAAATCTTCCACCAACCACCCATGAACCATCACCATAGCCCCTGTGCTCTTCCCTCCCCTGTTGCGTATGTCTGTGAACATTTCAATAATTTTCCACAACTTATGTTTTGGATAAGCAGCATTTTTCTTTAAAGATTTTATTTAGTTATGCATACAGAACTGGGGTACAGGCCAGAGGTGCAGGGGCGATGAAAGGCTTCACCAGAGACAGAGCTGGAAGCAGAATAGGAAGATCAATGAAGTACACTGCTGAGGGGAGCAGTGGGTGGGTCAGGAGAGGTCTGCCACGACACATGGGTCATCTCCAAGGCTGGGGATCAAACTCATGCTAAAGTGGCTTTAGCTTTTCAGTGCTGTGCTTTAACCCACTGCACCACCAGGGAAAGCCCATAAGCAGCATTTTAACAGAAAGGAGTTTCCTAGAGGAGAGTTAATTATTTGATTCATAATCATAAAGAGTATAGAGGGAACTATGTTTTTAACAATAATCTAAAAGACATTTTATTTTCCAGAAAATAACCTACAACTTCTCCACTTTTATTTGGAAGTTAAATCCCAGACCTAAAGCTAGCTGGGCAATTTGTAAAAGCCTTATGCCTTAGTTTTTCCATGTTTACAATCTAAGAGACGAGGGCCCTCCCTGACGGTGCAGTGGGTTATGACGCAGCACTGCAAGCTGGCTGCAGCCACTTCAGCACAAGTTCGATCTCCGGCCCCAGAGGTAACCTCACACAGCAGACCTCTTCTGTTTTGCCCACTGCTCCCCTCAGCAAAGTATTTTCTCAATCTGCCTGTTCTGATCCCCTTTCTGTCTCTGGTGAGGCCTTTCACTGCCCCTGCACCTCTGGCCTGTACCCCAGTTCCATGTGCATAAATGGATAAATCTTTAAAAAAAAATCTAAGTGATGATATTCTGATAGAAACTATGACATTACACAAAAATCAAATGACACTTAAAAAAAAATACTGATCTGTTTCGACAGCATACGTCTGTTGCTTGGCTACTCCAATAAGACACAGTGCTTAGCACGTTGGGAAACAAAGGTGGTTCTTGCTCTCAAGAAATAACTGACTTCTCAATGGTGAGCATGGATATATTTGGTTTTTTAAGGGAAAAAAAATTGTAGCTAACTATCTAGACAAGTGTCCATCAGACAACCCACAAAGAGGTTAAACACAGGAACCCAGATATAGGTAGTGAGACCACATTAATGATCAGCTTGCTGAACACTGACCTCCCAAACATCATAAACTCTGCCATGAAAATAGAAAAAATTACAGGTTAGGTCTAGTCCTTAACCAAAACCACCAAACACTTAAATTAGAAATGGTGCAATAAAAACAAGTGGTTATCTTCACCACTCTTATCCCCATCCAAAAAAATCTAGCTTAAAATGCAGAATCTATTGCTAAAGAGGGCAGAGAGACAAAAATGGGTTAGATACTTAACGCACAAAATGAGATTGTTTTCTCTTGAATAAATAAAAGGGTGGAGTTTTAATAGTCTCAAATTACATAAAGACTTCTCTGTGGGAGACAGCAAGAATGAGTTTAAGTCATAGATGGAAGAGCTCGCATTTTGATCCATCCAGAATTGTCCCACGGAGGGCTGTTCCTCCTTTGGACACAGAGAAATCAGCTAAGAGGAAAGATAATCTCCTCTCTGAAAAGGCTGCACCTCACTGTGGCTATAGCCTGGCCAAATGACATGACCCTGGGCTGCCCAAGGAGAAAGAGGAGAGAAGTGTGTTGGCAGTTATCGGCCCACTGATGTCAATAGCTGTGTGTCACCGAGCCTGCAAGAACCTTCTCTCTCACAATAATGATTTTCAAATTTTTTAAAGCCCAATGAAATTCACATGCAAAACACCTCCTTCCCAAACCAGTATATAAAGTATATTAAAGTCGGTGGCTAAAGCTTCAAGGCAAGGACGCCAGATGCCCCACTTTTGTGCAAACCCCACCCCCGCCCTTACGGCAGTCCCACAGGCATCTCAGTGGAATCCCTGTAGATTGGGAAGCCCATCCATAACCACTTTTAAGAATAAACTATTCAATCATGATTTTGTTACAATTTTTACTTCCTTCTGAATCTCCACAAGATCTACCTAAGTAATCTACAAAAGATCTATGTTTCTGGAGATAGTGGAGGGACTGGCTTTTTAATTAGATAGAATCAGAAAATTGGGGTAGGAGAATCTAGATTCTTAATGACAGAGAAAAGAATTACCCCAGTGGTATCAGCTATCTATGGCAGGAAAGAAAATACAGGAACCTATCAACTATCAGCACTTAAAATAATATTCCCTCAAATTAGGTATAATTTAAATGGACGTACACTAGGGTTGTGTGTTTTTTTTTTTTTTTAAGATTTATTTATTTGAGCATACAGAACTGGGGTACAGGCCAGAGGCTGAGGGGCAGTGAGAGGCTTCACTCCTTCACAGAGTGGGGAGCAGAACAAACAGATCAACAAAGTATACTGCTGAGGGCAGCAGCGGGTGGGTCAGGAGAGGTCTGCCACACCATGTGGTCACCTCCAGGGCAGGCGGGGATTGAACTCATGTGGAAGTGGCTTTAGCTTCTTAGTGCTGTGCTTTAACCCGCTGCGCCACCAGGGAGGGCCCTAATGTTGTGGTTTTTAAGCAAGAACATCATGACCTGGAGTAGCAATGGTCAGACTTATTTTTATGAGAGCGGATCTTAACCTGTAAGATTCTCAATCACCACAAATGAGAATTAGTAAAAACAGTCAATCTTAATCTTAAGTATTCTCAAGTTTTTCAATTACACAAATGTTTTTCCTTAAAGGTTATCTATTTAAGTTGATAAAGTTAACTAAAATGCCAAAGGAAGATTCATGCTTAAAGTCATAAGTAATCGGAAGTAAATCTTTGATTTCTTTAGTATCTTTTTTTTCCCCCAGCTTTCATGATATGAGGACATAGGGTGGGCCGACAGTCCTCCACTGAGATAAGTCATTCATTCACCCACTTTTTGTCTTTCTCTCCCTCGATCCATCTCTCCAGCCACTTCTCAATTTCATTAGTGTGCTCTTCTTTCTGTTCTATTTCATTATTTGCCTCTCTTCAGCATTCCTACTTTTTGACTACGTGCTTTCTTGACCTCACACTACTGTCTTCAACCATTAAGTTCAATGTATCTAAAATTAAACGATTATCTTTCCCCAAACCTGCTCCTCCACCTCTTGTTTTTCATATATTGGCTCAGTACATGCCTAACCGGCTGCCCAACTAGAAACACTAGGTCCCCTCTTCCTTTCTTCCTCTAGCTGTTCCCCACCCCAGCCCCTAGGATGGCTGCCAATCCACTCTCACACACAAAAACACATTTAGTAAAGTGTTTTCAAGTCCAAAATCCAAAAATTCATCTTGAATCACCTCGCTTCCCATCCCCTT